AATAATAATACTCTTTTTCCCCCAGCCTAGTTGAATTTGGGTGGGTGGGGGCACTTACCACCTTTCTGTTCTTTCAGTTAAATTGCCTGTGGCAAGCAGGTATTTCAAAAGATTCTTTGACCTTGGAACTGAGCCCAAAGTATTACAGTGGGCTCATGATACATGTTTGTTTTTATTGTGTTGATAATGATGAAAAGGAGGCTGGTTTTTCCCAATGAAAAGCTTTTTTTTTTTTTTTTAAAGTAGGCTCTACGGGGCTTGAACTCATGACTTTGAGATCAAGAGTCTGACGCTTAACTGACTGAACCACCCAGGCGCCCCTGAAAAGCATCTTTAAAAGTAAGAGCTGATCTGGCATTTCTCCTCTCAGCCACCTTCAGTCAGGGCTGGCCACTCCCCTCAATTATCCCCACCATCACCCTAGAAGAGAAGAGGCCTATCACCACCCCCAGGTGTATAAAAGCAGACGACAGGCAGGGAGACTGAGGTGTTGTAGAATGGAGAGTCCTGTTGTCTTTCCTTCCTCCTTCTTTTCATGGTTTGAGTGGGCTTCCCTACTCTCTCTCCTAGCAGTCAAGGAGGGCACATTTCAACAGGTTCACCCACAGAGAGCAGAAGTGATCGCAGTGGGCCTTTGCCTGGGAGGTGGGTTGGTGGACCTGCCCCGAGCCTCTGGGTGAGGGGAGCCACTGGGATGGGGACAGCCTGCCCTCCCACTGTGGAGAGTGGCAAAGCTGGGTGAGCTTTTGCTGGGCCCCAGACACTGCAGAAGGTGGCCAGGCTTGAGCTGCCTTCCAGGGTCCTTGTTTGCAGGGACACCGCTAGCTCTGGAAGCTAGGAAGATGCAGGAGGAAGAGGTTAAGCTGGACCCCATCTCCCAGAGCAGGGGATTATGTGAGGGAGGCACAAGAGAGCCCACATTGGGCATGTGCCCTGCCCAGCGAGGGCCCCAAAGGCCAGCCACTTTCTGCCTGAGAAGCAGGAGTACAGGCTGGTGCTTGGGTGTAGAGAAGAATCCCCCAGCCCCGAACTGGGCGTGGGGAAGGGAGGAGATGGACATTTAAACTAGACTGGACGTTAGTAACCAAAAGGGAGAGAAAGCAATGGATTCTACCCAAAATGTTACTAAAGGAAAGAAAGAAGCTGCAAACAAAAGCTTTTCATGTTTGTTTCCCTCTGAATTCAACCTGTTGGTTAAACTTTTGCCTTTAGATTCGGATCACATGGGAAAAAGTAGTGTTAGAAAAAAAGAAGCTGGAGAAAAGGAGATCTGGAAGGGGAGGATGAGGGGAAAGAGGGAGAGAGGGCAGAAGGCAGAGGGAAAAGAGGAAAGAAAGGAGGGAGACACATGTGGGGAGATACATTGTTGCAAAACAATGAGAGGAGGGAGAGGTGAAGAACAAAGAGACAGAAAGGCCCACATACATTCTAGGACACATCAGAGGCCACATCCCACAGCCCTGCAGTGGTCTTCAGCGTAAAAAGCAATGTCCCTTGAAATTCTGAATCACCACCGTTCACGCTTTTCTATAGGCTGCTCTCACATCTTACACTTCAGAAGCTCTCACTCCAAATCGAGTGGTCAGGGAAGCCCCATAGGATGGCAGTTATCTGACGGGCCCTGGAGAGGGTCACCAGGGCCAAGTCATCCCACGGGCACAATGAAATTAACTCTAGGTCAGATTTGGGGCCGCTAGGACATCACGGTGAAGATGCGTAAATTCCCGGGAAGGCGCCTATCACGAGTTAATGCTGTGCTCTGGGGCCACAGTGTTCGGCTGAAGCGCCTTACTTGGCCAGCAGGCTCATGAGGTAGGTTGAGGTGTTGGTGTCCAGTCTCAGCGGAGGCACCGTGACGTAGGCGGCCGCGTGGGACCAGTCCTGGTGGTAGTAGTGTAAGCCGGTCAGCGTGGCATGCGCCGTGGTGGTCTCGGCCAGAACAACCTTCCCTGCAAAGAGAGAGGTCAGACCATGAGTAGGAAGCCAACCGACCTGAGAGACCATTGGTCTGAATGGTCCTCGCTGAAGGAGCTGAAGTCAGAGAGGAAGGGACTTGGCCAAGCTCACGAGGGTGTTTGAGAGCACAGCTGGGTTCAAGGCCAGAGTGCTGCATCTCGCCAGGCTGGCTCCAGGCAAGAAGAACAGAAGGGCAGGGGCGCCGAGGAGGGGCAGCGCCGCACTTGGAAGAGCGCGGCTTGGCTGGAGCTCAGGGGCCGCGGGCGCTGCTGGGAGGAAGGAGGGGCAACAGCGCGGGTGAGGCAGGCCAGGGGCTCCCAGGAGGGGAGAGGCGGGAGGGGGCGGGATCTCGCAGGCCATCCTGCCAGAAGGCTGGGAGCCCTTGCTCTGATTTATAGCCCCAGGTCTGTGACCATGCCTTGGTTTCTCCTGTTAGCAGGACCTCGCTGGCACCCTGAGCCGGCTGAGACCACAAGCACAGGTAAAAACCTCCAGGCGCTGCCGGGTGCTCGGCAATAGCAGAAACACAGGCGCCCTGGGGCTCGTACTCAGGGTGCCGGGGGCGGGGGGGGGGCTGTGAGGGAAGTTGGGCTCACTCAGATGCTGTTATTCCTCCAGGGACTTCCAAAGCATCCCCTGAAATGTCCATTGGAACTGGTCCAGGATTTTATGTCGGTTACCAAGGCAACCGCTAGTAAAACCCAAGAGGCCAAAAAGATAGCAATTAATGAGTTGCCTGAAAACTTGGAAAATTTGACCAGACCCAGGAGAGGTGACAGACACTTCTGTAAAGCTGTTAGGCAGACAGATGTGCAGAGGAAAACAGTGGTTCTAACTCACTGGACCCAGGCTAGAGCAGAGTGCTTCTAAGGGTGACAGGAGACAACAGGGCATACACTGGGCCCCTGGGCTGGTGGGCCCCATAGGGCTGCAATCCCACCCCACATGCCCATGTCCATTCCAGCCCCAGGACTCACCTTGCATCTTAGCAGCTGCGATAACCTCACCGGCCGAGATGCTGGACACGTTGACCAGGTAGATCGGGCAGTGGGTCTAAATAAGGAAACCCAGCGGGAAGGAGAGCGCATCAACGCCATGAACCTGCCAAGCACGAGCACAGCCCCAGCCAAACCAATGCTGGCCGCAGCACCTCCCCCTGTATCTCTCAGCCCCACTCTCAGGGTGAGGGTCTTCCACCAGGAATGTGGGGCTGGCGGCCAGAGCACGGACTGCGTGAAGCAGGGAGGAGGCAGGCAGCACTCAGCCCCAGAGTCAGTGGGAATGTCAGGGCAAGAGGTCAGCCGAAATCAAGATGATTTATAATTTAAAACAAGGGACTGTTTTCTGTTCATGGGTGTGAGGACCTAGAGGCAGTCGTGGATTATACTCCGTATCTAAAATGACAAAGCCTGCTGTATGAGGGCTGCTTTATCAGTAGACAGAATGCACCCTGGACAAGAAACAAAATACAGGAGGTTCAGGGTTCAGAGTCCATGTCAGACAGGACTGGTCTTGCAAATGGACACCTGGATTGTAGTATCGATGAGCTTCTCCTCTGCTGAGCTGGACGACAAAGGTCCATGTCTTCACTTCTCTGGGCATATGTTTGAGCTAAAAAATAGGAAGCTGGACTTGTGTTGTTCAGATCTGTCCTTACTCTGGGGTAAGTTTCCATCAGGGAGTAATTGATATCGTAACTCTCATTACGCCAGTAAAACAATGTCCCTGTCCATTGGATATTGCTAACGGGAAACTTTTCCCAAATGTTATTCTGATGCCTTCTCTGCTTATCAAAATGAGAGGACAGAGAGCTTAGGAACTGGCCCGACAGGTCATATGCTTGGCACAACTTTACTGTCTGATTCTGAGATCTGCTGGACCTCCAACCTCTGTGTTTTCCCTGGTGTTCCTAACACCACCCCTCAGGCTTACACCCTTGGAGGGAGTCCGTGTCTTTCCAGAGGAGAGGTTCTGGAGCATTAGTGCCTACTAGAATCAGGGGTGGGCTATTGAAAACAGATGGCTGGGCATCATGCCCTGTTTCTGATTCAGTAGGTCTGCATGGGCCCGAGAATCTGCATTTCTAAACTCCCAACAAATGCTGATGCTGCCAGTCCAGTTACCACACTTAGAAAACCGGTGTTCTAGATGCGACGGTTCAGATTCTCTGAGCAAATTGAACTCTTTACTGATCGTTTAGAAGGAGAAATAACCTTGGTCTAGGGCTCTGCTGTTTATAAACTGCCGTTCCTGCTCTGCCCCCTTTGAGACTCACAACCATCCCGTGAGAAGTGATATTACCGCTCCAATTTTAGGTAACAAAATAGTATAGCAGAGTGGTTGAGTGACTTGCATACACCTGAGAGCTTGTATTTGGTAAAGGCCTCACATCCCTTCCTCGGTTCCCATGACCACACTGCATCTGCACCCCCAGATCCTGAGCGATACCAAGGAAAACTTCTAAGTGGTCCAGAGGTGGAGGTTTAAGCAAACATCTACCGAATTCCTCTGCAGGAAGCAGAGTTCAGTTGCAGGGAGGTTCTGTGGCCCCTGAACCCACCTGCCTCCCATGGGAGCCATTTCCACCTGAGCAGTGAAGCCAGACTCAGCAAGCTCAAGGGGGTGGAATAGAGAGCTGGCAGGAAGGACCTAGGCACCAGGTCTGTGGGAATAACAACATTCACCCAGCCAACGGTTCTGGGTTCCTGCAAGTCAGGCATGGTGCTGGCAGCCAGGGCAGAATGGGACCCCGCCGTGCAGACTGAAGAGTCTGGCTTCTGATCCCAGAGTCAAGAATGGGTTGAGGGCAAGTCGGGGTCTACTTACCCTGTTTGCAATGGTGATAACTCGGTGAGTGGCTTCAGCTTCCAACTGTTAGAAACAAAGTACCGGAAGAAAACAAGCTTTACCATCTCTCCCAAGCAAGCCCACATCTGCTCAAGAGCCCACTTTGTAGAAAGTTCTGGAATATTCAACACAGAGCTGGAAGGGTCCACTGTACCCACAGGGGCTGCATCCCAAGAGCACCAAGCTCCAACCACTCTGCTCCCCCTGAGGCAATCGGAGAACTTAGCACCAGGCATATCCTCGCTGGATGCTACTCAGGCCTTAAGTAAAAGGCAACAAAACAAAAGCAAACGGAAACCTAGATTCCCATCTCTCCGTGTTTTCTGGTGTCTTCTCTCCACAGCCACCTCAGCACGGTAGCAAAGGAACGATGCTCACTAATACCAAAGTGGAAATTAACCCAGACCAGGGTTTCTGAACCTTGGCACTGTGGACGTTCTGAGTCAGGTAATTCTTCATGGTGGGGGCTGTCTGGGCACCGTAGGATCCAGAAGCAGCATCCCTCACCCCTACCCACTAGAGGCCAGCAGTGCCACCCCCAGGTGGGAGAACCGAAAACATCGCTAGGTGTTGCCAAAGGTCCTGCGGAGAGCAAAATCTCCCCTGGCGTGGAGCCTTTAACCACTAGACCATGACAGTGATGACTCATGCTATTAATATCCTATAGTCAAAGCCTTGCTTTTGCCCTCCTATAACTGAGCAAAGCCCAGTCCTGTGCTCACCCGCCCACTCCCATTCTCACAGACACCCAGGGCCTTGTCTGTCTGATGGCAGTGCCCTCACATCCTGTCTCTGGCTCCTCGTCCCTCAGGGACATGCAGCCACCACCCTGCACTGAAGGCTTTGAAGAAATGGAAAATAGCTTTTTCCTCACGAATGGTGGAGGATGTCTGAATAGGATCACGGGACAAGAAGTCCAATGTGGTCCCTCCGGAGAATTCTCCAGCAGGGAGGGGGACTATCGGGGATGTGTGTGGACGCCCTGCAGCACTGAGCAAGGGTAAAACCACAGGTTAGAAGGACGGCAGGGCTTTTCATTACCATCGCTGTGGGTCATGGGGTAGTAAGGGGCAGAGAGCACAGACATGGGTGTGCCTCTGGTTTCTGGTGGGAAGGGTCCAAAGTTTTCCTCAGGTGCTCAAAGGGATGTCATTCAGAAAATGCTGAATCACTGGCTTATAGTCTAGAAGTTCTTCTAACACCTGAAGGCACTTTCACTCTGTCTCCCCCCCACCCCCCCGCCCTGGGAACCAAAGCAGCTCCCTTCCCTCCCCGCTCCTCCCTGCTGTTGCGTCCGGGGCGGAGTAACCCCCCCACCCCCCCGCCCCCCATTCAATTTTGGGGAAAGCAATTCCCGCTGTCCTCACGTTGTCTCCCTCGGATCCCTGAAATCAGAATCAAATTGGGTGGGTCTGGTTTCCCCCATACAGTCTTTCCCAAAGAAGCTTAAGGCCATGTCAACCTCAGCAGGGAGGAGGGTGTTCTCTGAGAAGCTTCAGATGAGAATTTCACCCATGGAGAAAGCGATAATACACAACTTATATTTACTGATGTCTCTTCTATCCTAAAGATTCTATGAATCCATAGGAAAAAAGCTGACAAGAGACAGAAAGTTTTCCTCACCTCCTCTGGGCGGCTGATCTCGATTCCTTCTGGGCCTGTGATACCCAAATCTAGCGCCTCCTTGGCACCCTGAATAAAAGACAGAAAACTGAGAGAACCATACAGATATAAGAAAATCAGAAACCCCAGGGACACTAAAATATGCCGGACGTAGCCCATTCCAATAGGCTTGCTACTTTTCTCACTTCTGTAGTATTCATCTTCCAAAGAGGGCAGAATCAGTACAGGGCTCCCTTGCAGTAAGTCTCTCTTGAGTTTCACTTCATAAGGATTGAACATATTTTTTCCTCTTAAAATTACAGTTCTGTAATTAGCCAACAGGCTTGGGACATCCAAGACAATCGGTCTGAAAGTCAGAATTGCCCCCACTGAAAGTCTAGTCAAATCTCTAGCTTCCAGCAACACCTAGATTAACCGTTCCCAAGTATCCTATTTAATTTCCAGGCGTGAAAAGGGGCTCATCTACCAGTGAGGAGATTGTTAATAATATCTCAGCTCTTTTGGGGGTCGGGGGCGGGTAACAGGAAAGCAGAGAGCTGACTCTGATTTATCCCGATGCCAAATCTCATTAAAAATATTTTTAGAGGTGCTCTAAATTCTTTTGCTATAATGGAATTTAAATACCCTATCAGTAGAACTAAGACATCATTATCTAAGACTCAGACACCATTCTGGACTGTAAAGAGATTTTTTTGTTTCATAGACAGTAGAAAAGTTTGGATTTTCTGACTCAGATTTGTCATCTGGGGTGTCAACATCTCACACTTTCTTTTATAACTTATTTTCTCTGAACAAAATTGTGGGATGGGTGATGGGGGGTCAGGAATCCCCCTAAGAACTGTTTGTACTGGCGCCCCAGCCTCCCCCCTTTCCAATATTCTCTATTGCCTTGCCTCGGCCACGAGCTCCCCATTCTCAGCATGGACTCGGGGGATCGCTCCAATGTCCTTGCAAGCGTGTAACACTTGGTACAGCTCACTGTCCCGAAGCATGTACAAGTCTTTGTAGGTCATGAACATCTGGAACGAGTTGACACCCTTCTCCCTTACCAGTGTCTCCATTTCTGCTTTCACCTGGAGAGCAAAATGCAAAGGCAATGCCTCGTGAGTACAGATGTTCAAGAGGCGGGCTGGCGGATGCTGGCCCAGGATGGAGGGGATTTGGGCCAGTCGGTGGAGTGACTGTATGACCACCCGCCACCTCGCAGTATCTCATTTTCCTCCCACAGGCAGCTGTATGGTTACATGAGCAAACGGACGCAGAACTACTTGGTAATTTGTCAAGCGTGACACAAATATAGCCTATATTGTTACTGTCCAGGCACGTTTCTGCTATCCCAGAGGCTTGTCCTGTGTTTCTGACTCCAAGGCAGCCTTCTTGGTGAATGCACTAACAGCTTTTATTCCCACGGCTTGTGCCCCCAGCCCCCATAATGGAAGTGGCGTTACAAAGAAGGCACAATAATGCTAAAAATCCAGAGACTGGGGGCGCCTGGCTGGCTCAGTCAGTGAAGCATGCAACTCTTGATCTTGGGGTTGTGGGTTCGAGCCCCAGGTTGGGCATGAAGATTACCTAAAAATAAAATCTAAAAAAAAAAAAAATCCTGAGACCCTGGGAAAAATCTAATTTAGGAATGTGAATAAAGCTATGTGAATAAGAAGATTCATTCCAACATTATTAGGACGTAAACTGGAAACTGGGATGAGAAAATGGAAGCAACATTGGTCTGACAATAGGAAAATAACTTGAAGTTTATCTCCATGAAGACCATGCAGCCAAATAAAAAATGCTCCCACTTAAATGAAAGAGTTACTATGTAAAAAGCACCTGTGAAAAACAGACTGGAAGGAAATAAGCTAAAACAATAGTGGTTGTGTTGGGGGGTGACCAGATGATGGGCTTCTTTTCTGTTTTTAAAATCTATAGTTACAAAGAAATTTTTTGATAATAACAAAAAAGAATCTGAAATTCTAGAGGCATGGAAGTTCCCACAACCTCCGGGGACCTAGGGATGGCTGGCCTGGCCTCAGTGTGGCTGAGAATCGGAATGGACACTCTATTCCAGGCCAACTCGAGGGGGAGGGAATAGAGAAGCTTGGGGTAGGGTCGTCCACCCAGGAGGGTGTCCAAATAAACAAAACCCCCACTTGTGGTAGGGGCTGGCTGACATTCAGGGTGGTCTGCGCCTTTTCCCAATACCAGGAGGGAGGTCTTCATGGTGTGAGGCTTGGGGGGCTCTGAGGCCTTTCCTCAGGACCAGGTCGGAAGTAACGGAGGAGACTGGGTGAGCCCCACACTCGCAGCTAAAAACCAAGGGCAGAAGTACACGAGGCTTTTAATTACCATCTGAGAAGGGAGTCAGGCCCTTTAGGCCAGGCTCCACAGCTGAAGGGTTTTGTAAAATGTCTTAATGCTTGTTTTTTTTTTTTTAAAAGATTTTATTTATTTATTTGACAGAGAGACACAGCGAGAGAGGGAACACAAGCAGGGGGAGTGGGAGAGGGAGAAGCAGGCTCTCCGCTGAGCAGGGAGCCCGATGTGGGGCTCGATCCCAGGACCCTGGGATCATGACCCAAGCCGAAGGCAGACGCTTAACGAGACTGAGCCACCCAGGCGCCCCTTGTTTTGTTTTTTTAAAGTAGACTCCATGACCAATGTGGAGTTTGAACTCACGGCCTTGAGATCAAGAGCCGCATGCTCTACCAACGGAGCCAGCCCGGCAGCCCAGTGCTCGTTTCTTTTTATGATTCTAGGGCACCCACACAAGAACCGGCACATGGTGATTAATACAGAATTGAGGAAAGAACGAACACCCAGCCTGCTTCCCTGGGGTAATAAGCAGTAAAACTCCAGAAATGAAGCAAAATCTAAACGCCTGTCTATCTGTTTTTTAGGAGGAGCAAGGAGGTGGGAATCGGGGTGTGGGCCTGGGGCCTGGGGCAGTGGGAGGACAGGAAAGCCAGAAGTGAAGGCCACAAAGGCTGAAGTGAGAAATGGCTCCGTGGGAGGCAGCCTCAGCCATGCGCCAGGAGCAGCCTCCGGGCTCTCAGAGTGGGGGCTGGGCCCCCAGAGGGAAGAAGGGGCCCTGTCCATTTGTTCCAGGCAGCACTGAGCCAGGACAGCACCCTCTGTTCTGTTCTGAGCCCTCAGGGCCATGCTGTCCCTTCCAGCATGAAACAACACGACCCTTGGAGCCTGACTTTTGCTCACTACTCAGCAGCAGCCCCTTTAGGTGCCGCTGCCATCGAGAGATGCTGCTGTGGGCTGAGCAAGCATTCAGAGCTCCCTACACCTCTGTCTTAGGCCTTCTGTGTCTGATGGAAAACTGGCCCTTTAAATTAAGAACAGGCCTTCTCACCCCCTTGTGGAATCCTGTGGTTTTTTTTTTTCTTTTGGCATTTGGGGGGGGCTAGGATGGTGGGGGGGTCCCACACCTGTGGGAGAGCACCCCAACCTAGCCGGCTCCGACCAGACTGCCCCTCTGCCTCAGAGAGCTTTCATTCTTCTTTTGGGATTCCAGCCAGCACTGTTACCTTGGGTGCCCACCAGGTGATCCCCACGTGCAGGGCGTAGTCACAGCAGACCTTGGGGTCAGCCAGACCCCGGCACTTCTCGTAGGCGTCCACCAGGGAGGTCTCCTTATCAGGCAGGACGTGGCCGATGACCATGGTGGTTCCTCCGACTAGCGCCGCCTGCAGGGGACAGGAAGAGCAGTCTTGTCACATCCCTTCCCACACCGGAGTCGCCGATGCAGGGAGACACGGGGGGGCCAACCACAGACCCTATCAAGCAAGAGGCTGTGAGTCCCCAGTGCAGCAACGCTTGGGAAACTGTAAGGAGCCGGACATGCAGGACCCAGTGTGTAACCTTCACCCCCACTGTGGATCCAGCACACAAACCTGCTTCTTCCTTGTCTCGGAGTGTGGCTCGGTGCTTTGGAAAAACCACTTCGTGTGTTACTGGAGCCTGAGGCCAGCCTCTCCTTCCCAAAGAGCAGACTGCCCCCACCCCCAATGATTCTGGCCAACTGGAGTATGTAGATGACGCAACCAAATGCTCAATGTAATGTGTCTATTTATAATATTTATTTAGTCACCCAGACGTATTTAAATCCTAACGAAGCAAATGTTAATTTGGATGTCATTTTGTTTTATTCTCTCGTATTTCATGAAACAATTTTATTTACTTATTTAAAATATTTTTTATTTATTTGATAGAGAGCACAAGCTTCGGGGAGGGGCAGAGGGAGAAGCAGGCTCCCCACTGAGCAGGGAGCCCGATGCGGGGCTCGATCCCAGGACTCCCAGGACCCCGGGACCATGACCTGACCCGAAGGCGGACGCTTAACCAACTGAGCCACCGAGGCGCCCCTTCATGAAACAATTTTATTCAGAGTTTTCATATGCACCTTCCACATGGGGGTTTTTGTCTTCAGTTTTTCCAAGCACATTAAGTTCATTTCCATTTATCTTGTTTGAGATAGAGCACTTTTTAGGTCCCTGTATGATTTATCAATGAAAAATTATCCTATTCACAATCTCCACAAGATACCACTTCAAGAGATATCTTTAAAAAGCCTACTTGTAATAAAAAAAAAAAAAGCATACCTCCAGGAATAATTACCAAATCTGTATTAAAGATCCACCTCCCCCACACATACTTTTTTTTAAACCAGTTTGGTTGGGTGACCTGCACAAGCTTCCAGAACTAGCATTGACTAAAGGCTGTTCCAGGCTAATGTGTTGTTTCCAAACAAAACTTCATCAAAACAGAATAATTAAGAGAGGGCTCCACTACTCTGTGAGTGCTCTAATAGAAGTTGACTCTCTTTTTCCAATGAGTAAAAGTTTGGACAAAACCTGTCCTTCAACTTGGGCCAAAATTTGAGTCCCCACTCGCCACCTCCCAGCTGGATAACCTCAGCCACATTACTTAACCTGTCTGACATGCTTTACCTATAATAGCTACTATAATAGCTACTTAACCTCTCTAAGCTTTACCGAAATTAGCTTCCTTGCTGGATAGCTGGGAAAGTCAAGTGAAACACCTCCGATAAAATGGACGGAGTGAAGTCTGTCCTAATGTGTGTTTAATTATCCAGACTTTGGCTGTTTATCTCCGTTAGGGGAGAAAAACAGGACAATGAAATTGTCTTGATGATTTCATGCTCCTCTAGTCAGTCAGATCCTTGATCACAAATCAGAAATATTGCTGGGGAATGGGGAACTGAAAAAAAATTCAGTTCTGTGGCCAAACAACAATTAAAATGAAAACTCTTGCAACACAGATTTTCCACGCTGACCCTGACTTGGCCAGGGAGAAAAGTCTCCATGTTGTCAAGATGTCAGGGGTCCCACTTCTTGCATGGCTTAAAACAACCAACAGAGGGCGGTAGTTCTGCGGTACACAAAGGGGGAACCGGGATGGGGGTGAGGGGGCAGGGAAATGAGAGAAGGGGAAGAGCAGCAGATTGTAGCTTTACTAGTTGGCTTCTATTTGTGATCCGGCTGGATCTGCCAGGCTGATTCATCCTTGCAGCAGGTGGTTGTACTCTATTCTGCCCTGAAATGCATTTCTTGCCTTTACACGTGGACATGGGGTGTGTCGGATATTGGGAATTTATACACTAAATTGTTTTATTTATTTTATACACTTGTTTTATTGGTTCTAGATTGCTTTCCTTTGCACTCCCCTCAGTATGTGTGTGGCCTTGGATAGAAAAAGGGGGACCTGGAAACAGCACAGTATGATAAGAGAGCCAAGACTCTTCTTAAGATCTGTGGGTCCCAGAGCAAGAGTAGAAAAGGAGGTCCATGTGATGAATCTCTAAAATGGTTAAAAGTTACAGATCAAGCTGTTACACAGAATACATTCTATCCTCCTACTACTCTGACAAATATATGGCTGAGAAGGCCAGGCCTGAATTTAGAGCTCTTGGGAGTCCTTGTAGCTCTGAGCTACATTGCAGGGGATGTTGGCCTTCAGCCTTTGCACCTGCCCCCAGCTCTCACACCCCTGACCCTGGGGTTCATCCTGCAGCCTGCAGGTCTAAGATCTGCTCACTCCCTGCAAAATGCTGCCCTTGGACCCAGGCGTGCACACACTGGTAGTCTGGCCCCCAAGAGGACGGATTCAAGCTTGCATAGGTCCTGGAAGTGCTCAGGACCATTTGTTAGGGAATTCCAGGGATCCTGAGTCTAGAAGAGGACAATGGGCTCTGGGCAGACATGGCCCCTCTTGCCTGAGTGTAAGGACAGTAACTGAAGAGTTCTGGTAGGTGTCCCAGGACGGTGGTGCTGACTTTCCCACTTACTGGCTGGAATCCAGGGCCAGCTGTGTGCCCGCTCTGCACCTCACCTCCTGGGGGCCCAGAGATGATCTAGTGGCAATGGATGTGAGAGCACCTGCAAGCTGGGAAGGGGCACATAAATATCTGGAATAATTATTTCTGCTATAACCTCCGGCCTCAAAACAAGAGTTTAACAGGATCAGCAAATACTCCCCCAGCTGCAGGCTCAGGAATCCAGACCAGATGCTGGATGTACAAGGATGTTCGAGCACTTGTTTCCTGTCAGGCAAGATATACAGAGCTGGCTTTGAAAATATGTACAGTTCCAACCCACGGGACGAATGCCGACAAGCTCTGTCTTCCTGGGAGTGTGATATCACAGATGTGACAGACCTTTTTACTGTCATCCCACACAAAACAGCCTTTAGAAATCAACAGAGGGCATGACCCAATCCCGTTCCTGAGGCTTTCAAAGGGATTATGTTTACGAACACGGGGCTGTGTGACTGCTGAACGTTCCTGGTTTTATGCAAAGATGGTGTTGGTTGAGCAAGCTGTGGACGATGTTTAATGGAAGTCAACAGAAATGATATTCATGGAGTCTAAGTCATAACATGGAAAAAGGGTGATACTATAATGAGTGAAAAAGGCAGAATTCAATATGTGTACCCAAGATGCTGAGAAGTATGTTTAAACACACAGGCACCCACACAAGGAAAAACATGGGAGGAAATAGACCAAAATATTAACAAGGACTGTTTTGAGTGATGAGAGTCTGAGTTATTTATTTTTTTTCTAGTTTTCTGAAATCTATTTAATAGACTATATTACTTTATTTATAATATCCTTTTTAAACATAAATTTAGAGGAGGCTAAATATTTAACATTTAGTGAACCACGTGAGGCGCCTGGGTGGCTCAGTCGGTTAGGAGTCTGACTCTTGGTTTCAGCTCAGGTCATGATCTCAGGGTCCTGGGATCAAGCCCCATGGGGCTTCCTGCTCAGCAGGGAGTCTGCTTGAGATTCTCTCTCTTCTTCTCCCGCTGCCCCTCCCCGCTCCCCCCATCCCACGTACTTGCACTCTCTCTCTCAAATAAATAAATCCTTAAAAAAATTTAGTTAACCATGCTTATGTGTTCAAAATACTTTCTTTTAAAGTTATGAAACAATTCAAACATACAGTATAAGTATAGAAAATAGGGGTGCCTCGGTGGCTCAGTCGTTAAGCGTCTGCCTTCGGCTCAGGTCATGATCCTGGGGTCCTGGGATGGAGCCCCGCATCGGGCTCCCTGCTCAGCAGGGAGCCGGCTTCTCCCTCTCCCACTCCCCCTGCTTGTATTCCTGCTGTCGCTGTGTCTCTCTCTGTCAAATAAAGTCTTTAAAAAAAAAAGTATAGAAAATAATACAACACATAGGCATGAGCCCACCACTAGTCAAACATAACAGATTTAATACTTTCTGCTGTTTTTTTAAAAAACATTTAAAAAAATGGAATACAAGCAATCCAAACAAAGCCCTCCATCCTGTTCTCCATCCCTCTCCCTTGAGGTTGATATAAATTGCTCCCATCTATGTTCTTAGGCTTTGACTATGTTTGCTTTGTGAATTTAAAAAATTTACACAAATGGTATTGGATTGTTCCATACCTTTTTGCAACTTGCTTTTTAAAAAAACTCAACTTTTTTTTTTTTTTAAGATTTTATTTGACAGACAGCGAGAGAGGGAACACAAGCAGGGGGAGTGGGAGAGGGAGAAGCCCAGGACCCTGGGATCATGACCTGTGCCGAAGGCAGACGCCTAACGACTGAGCCAGCTAGGCGCCCCAAAACTCAACATCTTTAAGATCTATTTCATTCACTTTAATTAACTGTATGAATACTCCTCCACGTAGATACTCAATTCCGAGTTCATGGACGTTTACCACCACACATGGTGCGTGAGTATTCCCGCTCACACACGAACAGTCCCCATGTTCAGTGTATAGGATATCAGGAAGTGGCTGTGTAGCTTCGCGGCGCATGCGCACTTCCAATTTTACCGGCCTGGCCCAAGGAACAGCCAATTTACCGGGGTCTCGCGGAGCCTCGTGGCTGACCACAGCTGCCCATTTACCAACACAGGTCCTTAAGTTTTTACGTAAACTGCTGTCCACCCCCCACTGAGTATGTGGCATTTGTTTTTATTGTGAATGTGGGACTTCACATCTCTATTAAGTTAATATGGATATTGGGACCATTTGTTTAACCAACAGACTCAGCATCGTGATACACATTTGGCAGGAGATGAAACATAACCTGAGTATTTCAAAGGGTTACTGTTATTTGTTTTTGACATTTGTGATATTCTGCTGGGTAAATCTGGAATTACTTGACGTTCAGTAATGCTCACCTCCATTTGTTTCCT